CCCTACAATACCCATGTTCCCCCAATAGATGGCGTAGAAAATGATAAAAGCATTTTAGCATTTTAGCCTTCAAGCATGACTTTTAAATGTCATTTATCTTAGAACGTTTGCCCACGCCTGCATTAGTGTATTCAGTGATATGGGACTGTTTCATGAAATATCTTGTTTGGTAACAGAAATACCTAATACCAGAGGTGGGACCAAGTCATTGCTTTGCAAGTCATAAGTAAGTCTCAAGTCTTTGCACTCAAGTCCGAGTCAAGTCTCAAGTCAAGAGAGGCAAAGTCTGAGTCGAGTCCAAGTCAAGACTAAAAAGCGTCAAGTCAAGTCCCAAGTCCTTGTGTTTCTGTTTCGAGTCCTTTTACACAAAACAATAATATATTTACACAGATCACTTTGGGTTTTGGAGAAAGTATCAAGTCTTGTCAAGTCAAAGGGCTCAAGTCCAAGTGAGGTCACGGGTCATTGATGTTAAAGTCCAAGTCGAGTCTAAAGTCATCAAATTGATGACTCGAGTCTGACTCGAGTCCACACCTCTACCTAATACCTCCAAACACAGTGTTTTCACACTTTTTTTTTGTTGTGTGAAAATGTTTTTGGTCTTTTACTAATCATTTAGTGGCCATATCCCAAGAAATATTTTGGATGACATCTTGGACCATTACAAGCCATTAACCTTTTTTGGGCACAAAAAATGATTAGTTTAATAATCTGGTTCATGTTCAGCCAGAAAACACACAAGTACACACGTGTACGAGGCCTCGCCGTTGTTTGTGTTGGTGTCATAAATGTTGAAGTGAAGTCATGTTTATTGACTTGTTTGCTGACCGTGTTCCTCTGTGTTCTGAATGTTCTTCTGCCTCATTACACGTTCCTCCCAGTGTTGTTGTTTTGGCCGCTCGGCTCAGGTCCCGCTCACATAAACAGCTGTTGGCGTTGGCTTTCTCTCAGATAAACACATCAGACTGTTGTTTATAGACTCCACTTCACTCAAACACTCCGGGAAGCTGCAAGCATCTCCGTGGAGCTGAAGCTGGACGAGAAAGCCTTCCATACACACACTCACATGGAGCTGAAGCTGGACGAGAAAGCCTTTCATACACACACTCACACAGAGAGATGTGAGGTTAAAGTGGGAAAAAATATATATATATTATTTTCTTTCTGTTTGCACCATGAGAAAAGTGAGAATTACGCTGAAACACCTTTCTCCTCTTTGACAGAGTGTTAGCGTGTAAACCACATCAAATCCACGGAGAAAAGCAGCGATTTTCACGGAGACACCGGAGCTGCTGCTGCCTCATACCTCAGGTTTGTATCATTCACACAAGTCTGAACAAAGGATTTTGAACATTCAATTTTTATTTTTTTTTTTAAATTGAATTTAAAATATGACTAGCCCGGTGAGGCCTCTGCAGTGTGGGAGACAGCACTCAGAACTGTCTGGAATTAGAGATAAGTCCACTTTAACCAACTCAGTAGACACTTCAGTCCGGTCCAGCAGAATCCGTTCTCTGTCTGTCCATCTGTCCTCGCCGAGAGGGTTCGGGAGCTTTTGGGAAAGATCAGGATTTGATAAATGGATGGTTATAGGGTTACAGTATAAAGTGTCGGCACTCCTTCACATCAAGATCACGATGCCACTCCAGATCACCACAGGTGCTGGATTCCTGAACTTTGGTTGTTCACAATGACGGAGTCCAAAAACAGCTGAGAACATCAGCTCCAGAGTACCGAACGGTGTTTCTGAACTTTTCACATTATTTCCCTGGGATCCAGATTCAGTTTTGGTGTCCCAAACCGGTTCTTGATGTTGGCAATACTCAGTGTAATCAGTCTTGACAATGTGTCAGGGCTTCAGACAAGCTAACTTATCGCTTTAGTTTGACACTATGTGCGTGAGTTTCTGTGTGTGTGTGTGTGTGTGAGAGAGAGAGAGAGAGAGAGAGACAAAGACAGATTGGGTGCCTGAGAGGGACAGATAGCACTAAAGTCAATCTCCCCTCACTTTGATTGAGATAAAGACCAACGCACACACGCACGCACGCACGCACACACACTTCTACTGGCATCCCGACAACAGTCGTGCAGAGGAACAGACAGGGATCCTGAAGGAACGTCTCAATTCATCACAAATTTCAAACAAAGAGATTAGGGGAAGACTGTGTCAGTTGGAAATTGACTTATAGGATTTGTGCCTGTGCACACACTGCCTCGGAAGGGTGTGTGTGTGTGTGTGAACATGAAGAGTGTGTGCGACGGTGTCAAAAGCAATGACTGGTTGTTTTTTGTTTGTTTTTTTTCCAACAAGCGAACCTTACACGCTGCTCTGTCTGACACAGGTCAAACCAGCAGGGGGTGCAACAGATTTCAGTTTTTCACTTTCTGGATAAAGAAAAAATAAATTCCACCCTAAACATGTGTTCCTCTGAGATAACCAAGAGAGAGAGCGTACCCCTAGTTTCATAAGGTACTAAAAACTTCAATGAGAACTGACCTAGGTGTTTCCATGTGATAAGAACCAAAACTCAAAAAAGAAAAAAAATCTCTCTCTCTCTCCCTGTGTGTGTGTGTTCAGGGAGCATCCCTACTCTCTATGGTGATAAGATCAAGGCATTCCATGGTACACAATGGGTCATTACCCTGCTCTCCAGCCCATCATGTCCCTCCCTTCAAAATGACCTGTTCCCAAATGTTATGCAGCCATGACCCATGTCCGTGGGTCTGTCCTGTCTGTATTCTGCATTTAAAGAAGAAAAAAAAGTATCACTCTTGAACCAATACTAGTGTTGTTTATGGTCTGCACATACAATAAGAAATAATAATAATAATAAAACACACATAGACCTATTGTGTAGACTGTGACCTGGTGTTACCTGTACAGAGTCACTTTGATTTCTATAGTTGTATTCACAAAAGTTCATCTCTGCTCCCACGGCTGACCCCAGGCTACTCGTGTCTTTATTGTATCCTTTTAAATGCTGGCCATCGTGTTGATCTTCTGCGCCCTCTGCTGCTTGATTAACACGTAGTCCCTGCTTTTCTAGGCTCACCGAGCGACGTCATCGGGCGATAGTGTGCACCATTCCGTCCCAGGGTCAAGCTTCCGGACAACAAATCATTTGCTTGCAATCAATGTTTAATTTACAGTGTTTATTAAATCCAGTGTTGATTTGTGTGATAGCAAACAGTATTTCGCTATGCCTCATATGAACAGAAAACAGAAACTACGGTTCTCAGAGCATGGTAAAAATTATTAGAATGTGCTACCACCTACTGGTTAAAGTCCAAATGTGAACGAGAAACTATATTATTTAAAGACAATGTTCGCAGTTTTCACCTGCAGCGTTACTAAGTTTTGAAATAAAATATGAAATGCAGTCATCCATAAGTAGTTAATTTGTCATCGCCATATTCAGTCAGGGCCAACTGTTTTTGGGTTATAGCTTTTTCCCTGTTGTTTGTACAATATTTCCCGGAAATATCACAAAATGGTTTCTATTTGGTATTTCTAATTTCATTTAGATTAACTTTAAAATACTTGAACGCAACATGGCGACGCCTACGCCGTTCTAATAAGTACGATAAATTCCGAGCTTTGATGGCAGCACTTAAATGCATTGTAGGGCTTTGATTGGCTGGTGCTCAGAACCAAACACAGTGGAGCTAAAGAAGAAGAAAAGAGCGAGGACGTGAAACGGCGTTGACTGAGCGAAACACACTCTCGATACTAATAAATAGTCTTTCTCAATTAAATAAATTGATGGAGGATACAATTAGCAGTTAAAATCGCTATATTTCCGATAAAATGCAAAGCTGTGTTTATGCACTGCGGATTCTTTCGCGCGTTTTCTGTCTGCTGTAGTAGGTTAGCTTAGCCAGTTAGCTGAGACGGGACACTGGGTGTGTGGTCGCCCTGAAAAAGTGACCTGTAGCTCTCAATTAAAAAACACCAGGTTCTCCTACTAACTCCCTGACTGTTACCGCAGCACCTTAAGCAATACGAACATAATCACCTTACACAACAATTTATAAACACCCGAGCTAGCTTCCTGGTCTACACTAGCGGCGTTGACTGACTGCGCTGGCAATTGCAGAAGTCTCGTTGTGTCAGGTTGTTCCTGTATTTGAGACAAGCGGATCATTATCATGATTCCAGACAAAGTCCCAAAAGAAAACGTCTTTCACGCCGATGAGGAGCTGAGGAAGGAGGCTCACGTTAACACCTTTGAAAAGTACAAAGAACTTTATCTGAAGTCGATACAGAGTCCAGATGGTGAGTTCCCATTCAAAAGATAACGTGCGTTTCTGTGTGTCGGTACACTTGTACCGTCATCTACCAGTCTCAAAATGTTATTTTGGGGGGTCAGTTAATTAGATGACATCAATTCATTTAAAATTATCAATTGAAAGCTGGAAAACATCTAACAAGTGCATCGGCTAGTTTGTGCCATTGATCTGCTCACAGGAAACTGGTATTGCGATATATATTTTTAAATATTTAATTTTGTCAGTAATAGAAAACATCTTTATGTTTAGAGATTTTTAGTTAAGGTGAAAATTAAGTTTATTTACAAAGACTAGCTTTGTAACCCATTAAATACATACCAAGAGCATTTCCAGGTCAGATTTGCCAAATCTTGGGACATCCCATGATTTTGTCAGAGTACTTTCAGATTTGGTCAATGGACATTGTGAAAGTGTTTCATAACTACACAAATATAAACTGCACAGTTTCCTAGACAGGTCTACAAGTGTAGTGTTAACAAAATTTGTTGAAGTACAACCAATAAAATAATCAAGATTGTAATATTTCACATGAGTATAGGACCTAAGTAGTACTTAAAGGATGTTTATATATACTGTATATATTATATTTTAGTTTGTGAAACAGGAACAAAACACATTTTTGATTTTATATTTTGTTTGTATTTTGTTGTTTATATTTTTGTTTTGCATTGTTGTTGTTTTTTGAGTGCATGCATGTGTTTCGTCTGCATGAATACGTGTGGGTGTGCACATGAGTTCCCCTGTTCCTTCCTTTCTCTTTACTCAGTTACAAGTTCACAAAGAGCTGTTAAAGTTGACACCATCTAACTTTTTTTTTAAAAAGGTGTTTTTTCATTTTTATTTGTGTAAGCATTATCAAAACAATTATTTTGATGCCTTCATTTAACTATAAATATTTGTTTATAAAAATTGTTTATAAAATAATGTGGGTTTTTTTTCACCATGGCTATGGTTGAAATAACTTAAAGATTTCTTTTTCTGATTCCGTAAAATTGCTTTAAAATCCTGTTTCACGTTTCCTCTCCTATAAAGGAAAGCAGTTAGTAATTTACATCATCCATAAGTCGATTAACTATTATTGGCTCTGCCTACTTTTACTTTTGTTAAAATGTTTAAACAACGTGTTCGTCTTTAAAGTTTATATTTACATGTAGGACAAACAGTTAAATAAGCTTTATTTAAGTAAGCTGAACACTAGACAAGGGAATTAGGGCTCAGGACAATGTACAACTATTATGTCATCTTCTGACTGATATGTAAGCGATATGATATGGATATGCTTATGAAAGGCTTTCCTGGTTTTGGATTTTATCACAGTATGAAGGAATGAACCGGCTGAAGAAGATCAGCGTGTAGTTATCGTGTCACTTGTCGTTTGACAGCAGGTCAACTGAAAGTGTTCAATGAATGACATTCATCACACCACAGTACTACTACATTTTTTTGTCAAAGGAAATTATACGATTATACTTGCAGAGTTTAATGTAGCAAAATAATTGTATTAAAACACCCTAGGGCTGTAACAGTACATGTATTCTGTCCTGCAGAGTTCTGGGGGGACATCGCCAAGGACTTCTTCTGGAAAACCCCACACACGGGTGAGCTTCTGGAGTACAACTTTGACGTGACCAAAGGAGAAATTTTCATCAAATTCATGGAGGGAGCCTCTACCAACATCTGTTACAACCTCCTCGACCGTAACGTCCATGAGAAGAAGCTGGGCAACAAAGTGGCCTTCTACTGGTCAGTAGTCTTTTTTGCCCGCCTCAATTTCAGCGCAGTATTTTTTTTGTTGTTATTATTATTAAGAATACTATTATTATCAAGAATATTACAGCATAGTTCATTAAACTCAATATGTTTTTAACTAACATTTTACCCAACAGTTTAAATCACTGTTATAAACAATATGTTTTTAACTAACATTTTACCCATCCAGTTTAAATCACTGTTGTAAACAGTACTTTTTTATTATTATTATTATTATTATTCACCAATCACAATTCAATAAAATTCCGACACGCTTAGTTACCTTAGGCATTTGTTTGTGCTACAGGAAGCCAGTTAATAATGTACCAACAAGATCTGATAAACTCAACAAGTCAACTGTGTAACTATTTATATAAGCCAACAGAGAAATTCCACAGACACACAATATGCCCTGAAATTTTACTTTTACTTTTACTTTTCTTCTTTTTACATACATACACACACAGACAGATAGACATACACACACACACACGCACACAGCAGCTCAGATGACATGTTAGAAATAATCATGAAGGTCCGAGTTTCTGTCGGTGTAACTCCCATCAGCCCTGAGTTTTTTCCACACTAGGTCACAGAGACCTGATAGACACGCCGGCTTTCACATAACACACACACACACACACGCAGAAACTAAAAATGCGTTTCCCTACTTACTGCAACAGCAAGACTTGCATTTTTCATGTAAACATCTCTAGTTGTTTGTGTCTCTTTTATGTAGCACTTTCTAGCCATCAGGATTTAGCTCAGAGCCAGTGTCTCTAAATACAAGGGTTTCTCTCAGTGTGTCCAAGTACTGGTCTGTATTAGCATTTAGATGTGTTATATTTTTAATTTGTAAAAAATAAATAAATAAAGTACCACCATCACATTTTTTAATGGTGGTATTTCTTAATTAAAATGAAAAAATAGACATTTAATAAATTAGATATTTTATAAATATATATAAATTTTTCTGACTCATTTATATTTTGTACTTCATCATGTTTACAGGACAGAAGTGGGCCACAGTTTCTAACACTCTCTCTCTCTTTCTTTCTTTCTTTCTTTCACTCTCTCTCTTTCTTTCACTCTCTCTCTCCCTCTCTCTCTCTGTCCTTCTCTGTCTCTCTCACTCTGTCTCTCTCTCTCTCTCTTTCTCTCTCTCTCTGTCAGTCACTCTGCCCCTGCTCATCTGCTCACACTGATTTCTCTAATCTTAATACAGTGATGTTCATGTGAAGCCCCTCCTTCCAAGTCTGACCGTGTGTGTGTGTGTGTGTGTGTGTGTGTCTGTGGGGGGTGACCTGCCAACAGTTGAGCAAGGGAAAATTCTCTTGTGAAACAAGGGTGGAACCATTTGAGTTTCACCACTGCCAACAAAGACTGATGCAAAGTCCGTAGCTGTTGCCCCTGAACCTGCAGCCCTTTTCAGATTTTTCATCAGATTCCACGTTTTAGATACTGTGACATTTCAATGTATGTAAGTATTGTAATCTCAATTCCAAAAAGGTAACCTAAACATTAGACAAATGTAGTTTAATGGATACTGCAACTGTAATACATAATCCACTGTCCAAGATTTTACAATATCCAGGATCAGGTTTTAATAACTGCAAATTTACTGTTGCCAATATGAATATATCCCACTCAGCATTTTACACCCCAGAAAAACTCATTTTAAATTTTTATGGTACTTTCTCAGCTGTTTTACATTAGAACCTGATTCTTCTTCTACAGCAACAATATCCAATTATCCAACTCGGGGGCCAATTGCGGCGCACGGTCAAATTTTATCTGGCCCGTCTCATAAAACGTATCACTTGTGGCCCACCAGCACAGATTTCAGCATTTTTTTTCTCAAACAGATTTTGCTTCAATAAATGTCACGTAGAATGGTTGGCTCTCACGCCGTTCACTTCGCCGAACCTCGCTTTGAAAGACAACTCCCATACTACAGTCAGTTTTCTCTCTTCTTACTAGGGAAGGAAACGAGCCTGGTGATGAACTGACTGTGACGTACAGGGAGCTGCTGCAGAGGGTCTGTCAGTTCGCCAATGTCCTGAAGTCTCAAGGTAAAAACCTTTCAACATCCAGCCATAAGGTAAACCAGTAGTTCTTAGGGTGCACTCACACTTGGGCTGAACGTACCGCGCCTGAGCGTGTTTGCCCTCTATAGTCTGGATTCCTTGGCTGGAGCGCAACTTTTCTGCTATGGCGCTTGCTATGTGACATTGGCGAGGGCTGACTATTTTGAAGATAGTTCACAAAGCAGCTGTATACAAGCAGTAAGTGTTCACAAAGCAGCTGTATACAAGCAGTATAAGCAGTATACATCCTGGTATACTGTAGTTAGCTGCAGGGTAGGCCTGGTTTTTCTGTGTTGGTTATACTCCAAGAATCACTGTGTTAAAATTAAATGTAAATGAATGTAAGGGTGAGAAAAAAACACCAAATACCATTAGTTCAGATAATGTTAAAAACAGACAAAGTTGTAACTTAACCTCTTGACCTTGCTTATTCCAAACAGTTCCCTGCTAGTAATTTAAAGAAACAGGGTTTCTAAAAATCTCGTGAAACCAAACATTAACCAATAGTCGAATTGATTTCCTAATCTTGTGTTTTGTTCTTGCTGGTTCAGGTGTAAAGAAGGGTGACCGCGTGTCCATCTACATGCCCATGGTGGTAGAGCTGGTAGTGGCCATGTTGGCCTGCGTACGCATAGGAGCCGTTCACTCCATAGTGGTGAGTTCGAGGTGAAGGTTAAAGCCGAAGAACGCTGTAAAACGTTTGTATGTCTGATTCTCTGTGTGTGTGTGTGTGTGTGTGTGTGTGTGTGTGTGTCCAGTTTGCAGGCTTCTCTGCAGACTCGTTGTCAGAGAGGATAATGGACTCTCAGTGTTCACTACTCATTACTGCAGGTCAGTGTTCTTCAACAGTACGCGACACCAGAATTAACCCTTGATTTGACACCGGAAAATAATCAGATTCCACTTAATTGCTCCGAAAACTTTTCAGTGAATATAATTGGTCCTTATCATTGTGATGTCATCGGGCAGAAAATTTGAATAGGTCACAGCAGGTGGCTATAGACAAGAGAGTCCATTACTGTGATTCACACTGAGAATGTATTTTGCATCAAACTAAAATAAAAAAGCTATATTTTGAAGGGGTTTTTTTTATTTTATTTTTTTTTATCTCAGATGGCTTCTATCGAGGAGATAAACTGATCAACCTGAAGGTCTTGGCTGATGAGGCTCTGCAGAAATGTAGAGGCAGGTACGGTGACACACACACACACACACACACAGAGCACAGACAAAACCAAGTTCTATGGATAGCATACGGTTTCTGACAGAGCACAGACAAAACCAAGTTCTATAGATAGCATGCAATTTCTATAACCGTTTTGTCTGTGTCTCTTTGTTTTAGAGGATTTCTGTTGAACAAGTGCATCATGCTGAAACATTTGTCCAAACCACCAGAGGACGTGTCTGCGGGCTCTCAGTCTCCTCCAGCCAAACGGCCTTGTCCTGATCTAGAGGTAAAGTTCACTCGTCCCCGCTGACACACTAGCACACTTTCACTGCTGACGTGGAATGGGAGGTTTTAGATTCCACGGGACGGACTGGTCTGCGCAGCATGGATCACATCCATGCTGATAAATGACTGATCGTTAAACTGAGCTGTGTTTAATCATTATAATGGTGGGTTGTTAATGACGGAAGGACTTTCTTCTCTGATCGTCTCCTGGTTGTCGAGAATCAGTGTCTGAATTAACTCTGTCTTCATTTAATTCTCTCTTTTCACAGCTCTTCTCCCAATATCAAGGCAAAACTACCTCCCTGTCTCTCTCTCTCTCTGTTTTAATATTTGTTCTTTGCTTTCACAGTTTCAAAGAAATTCTATTGTTTAATTTATTTTATTTTGTATTTAAATTTATTCTTTAAAAAAAATCTCTTTTTCTGGTTTCTGTTTTGTTGGGGGTTTTTTTAGGAGTGTTTTTTTGGGGTTAATAATGTTTTTCTCCACCTTTAACTGATGCTCCTTTCCTCGCTCCTGTCCAGCAGGAGAAACAGAGCAGAGTAAAGAAAACGCGTCCTGTGCCCAAGGTATTTTTTTTTTCATCACTTCTTGCTCCTTTCCCTCGATCTCCCATAAAACTACACTTTTGGTGGTAGCATTACAACCACACTCCGAATTTACATTTATTTATTTATTGTTTCAACAAAAAAGGTAACAACAATAAAATAACTGTAACCGTTACTTTTTTTTACCATATATATGGTAAAAAAAAGTGTATAGATATGGTTACTTTTTTATTGTTTTTACTTTTTCACTGATGATTGACATTTGTGAACACGAGAAACTGATAAAATGCAGCAGACCATGTATAATGAAATAAAACAAAAGTAGTTAAAACTGTTCAAACAACACAAGAAAAGGCCACGTTTATGAAAAAAAAAAACAATATAAAAACGTATTTACCAAAGGCTTTTGGACCATAGAACCTGCTCTGGATTTCTCTCCAATTCTTTTTGCACCATACTTTTTAAAACTGCAGTGACGACTAGTCTGCTGCAATTGTGAGATTTTGGCTCAGCGTTAAATCTCTGGAGTAAAAATGTAAATTCTGTGGTTCTAGGTTAATGCTGTTTGTTTTTCTCCTTTTGACTCCTTGCACTGTTGCCTCTGGCTGCACTCTGTGGGCAACGTTGAGCGTCTTCGTAACGAAGAGTCCTGCCTCTGTCTGTGTGTCTTTGTTTTGTCCGTTTGACTTTTTAATGAGGAGAATAATAACTGCTGTGACACTTTTCTCTTCTACTAACACGTGTTTTTTTTTTTTTTGGGGATGAAGCTAACACAGTCTAACCTTTTGAATTCTAGACAGTTCTGACTAGTGGTTCTGAATTACAGGTGTTTTTTTTTATTATTCAGCACTATCTATTGCTTTTGTTCTCAGAACCTTTTGAATTCTAGACAGTTCTGACTAGTGGTTCTGAATTACAGGTGTTTTTTTTTATTATTATTATTCAGCACTCTACCTTCTATTGCTTTTGTTCTCACTGTGTTTGGATTTGGTTTTCTTTTTCTTTGTACCAGGTTCCGTGGAACCCTGACGTGGACTTGTGTTGGTTGACTCTGGAGAGTGCAGCATCAGACGAGTGTGAACCAGAGTGGTGCAAGTCTGAAGATCCGCTCTTCATCCTCTACACTAGCGGCTCCACCGGCAAACCAAAGGTAATTTTTCACACAACTGTTTCTCTCTTCAAATAATTTTCACTCTCAGTCCAACAACAGTATACATTAGGCATGGGCAAAACTTTTAATCCGACCTGCGAAACTTTTCCAAATGATATAATTAATTTATATTATCATTATACTTCTGCCGTTTCCCTGCAATACTCACGTTTCCCCAACAGATGGCGTAGAAACTGATAAAAGCATTTTAGCCTTTGTGTAGGTTCTTAGTCATCCGGGTCATCTTATCCGAAAAATAGTAACTCAGTCCAGTTTCCCTCCCACCAGTTTAGCCTTTATACATGACTTTTACATGTCATTTATCTTCACATGAACGCTCCAGCTATCTGCTCCTGACCCGCCCCCCCCACCTGTTCAATTCTAGGACAGTCGTGGCCCGTGAGTCAAAAAGTTTGCCCACGCCTGGTATACATCCTCCTCATATTTTATATTGAAAGTCCTGCCATCTTCCTCTCATCTGGTATCCAGGGCGTGCTCCACACTGTCAGCGGTTACATGCTTTACACTGCTACCACCTTCAAACTGGTGTTTGACTACAAGCCTGACGACGTGTACTGGTGCACAGCTGACATTGGCTGGATCACTGGACACTCCTACATCACCTACGGCCCGCTCGCCAACGGCGCCACCAGCGTGCTGGTGAGTTTCCCGAACAGGAAGTAGTGGGACCTGACAAACTTAGTTGACGTTCTTAAATGAACCCTGAAAATGTATGCGTGTGTATGAACAGTGGTGTATTCATCTTTGTTTCAGTTTGAGGGGGTGCCCACTTACCCAGACGTGGGCCGCATGTGGGATGTGGTGGACAAATATCAAGTGACTAAGTTCTACACTGCCCCAACTGCCATCAGGCTGTTGATGAAGTACGGCAGCGAGCCGGTGCAAAGGTAGGTTCATCTGTACCAGTGCCAAGAACAAGGATCAGAATACTGTAAAACAGTAAGGCTGCCTGATCGTGGAAAAAAATCACAATCATGATTATTTTGCTCAATACTGAAATTACGATTTTAATCCCAATCACGTTTAAATCTGGAAACACATTATTTACCTTGCAGGAGAACTTTGGAACACTGGAAATAACTGAAAGTATAATGTTAGCAATAAATAATACAATAATCCTCAAAATGAATATTAAAATGCATTAAAGATAAAGAAATACTTAAAAAGCAATAAAATGCAAGTAATAATACTAAGAAGTTATTTTGACCGAAACATATTGGTTAACATGATTCTACACAAGTTGAATTTTTGTTCTGTCACGGTGTCTGAGCTTAGAGTCATTACAAAATGTCTTTTTCTTTAGGTCCTTGTTAACGTGTTTAATAGTGACTGATGATGTCATCCGTTTCCAGGTACAAACGAGGGTCTCTGAAGATCCTGGGGACAGTGGGGGAGCCCATTAATCCTGAGGCCTGGCAGTGGTACTACACCGTGGTGGGAGACGGGAGGTGTCCCATCGTCGACACTTTCTGGCAAACAGAAACGGTGAGTGTTGTCGTCTGTAGTTCCGCGTTTAAACACTGTCAGACTAGAAAAATAAACTGTGGATCTGAGGAGCATTTGAGTCTTTCTCCGAGCCCCATGCGCAAACTGTAAGCTACGTCAACCTCGTTAACAAAATATACAGTAATAAAAACGTCCTTTCCTGTGCTTCAGGGTGGACACGTGTTGACTCCTCTACCTGCAGCGACTCCCATGAAACCCGGATCTGCTGTGAGTAGACGCCATCGAGTTGAAAACTGCTTCACAGATGGATGCGAGGAGAGTTAGTTGTGGGTTGTGGCTAGGTAGCTAGCTAACTGCACGTTTTTAGCAAATTGAAGGGTGATTTTTTTTTTTTTTCCCTAGGATTTTGAACTCAATATCTGTTTCAGCAACACAATCTAACTGTTCTCTTTTATTTCTGTCTTCCCAAGACCTTTCCATTCTTCGGAGTGGTGCCAGCCATTTTGAATGAGTCAGGCGAAGAGCTGGAAGGTCCGAGTGAAGGCTATCTGGTGAGGATCGCGATGTCACCCCGTGGCTACCTATTCTGTGGTATGATGGCATAACATGACATGTGATCTGTTTCGTCGCTTTCGTCTCCGAAACAGGTCTTCAAGCAACCGTGGCCTGGCGTGATGAGAACAGTTTACGGAAATCAGTCCAGGTTTGAAACCACCTACTTCAAGAAGTTCCCAGGATACTATGTTACAGGAGATGGTGAGAGGAGACGCTCTTGGGTGGGCTGAAACTGTTTCTCTACCGTGATTGTTTGTCCTTGTTGCAGTCTCAAATGTTGTTAAAATGTCGACATATTCTGCTTCTCTTTTGTTTTTCTCTCATTTTGCTTTTTCCCGAAGTCCCCATTTCTCTGTTGCTCTGAGTGTACGTACCAAGCATGGTAATAATGGGCTGAGCCAACTTTGTCCTTGCATATGATTGGCCACCCGGTGTGCCCATCAAAATACAGTCCTGCCTCTTCTGCATGGTTTCTCTGAGCAGGAGCTATCGGCTAAAGATTTGGCTCTATGCAACGCGAGTGCTTTGGGCTTGGGTATCGGATCGGACGGACTACAGTCCTGAAATTCGGACCAATATTGTTCAGATTTCGATCCCGAGTATCGAATCTAGCCTTCCCTAGTCTGTATTAACTAAAATAAATAATGTTTTCTATTGTCTTTGGTTCCGTAGAACGAGGGATACTTTTGACCGTTCTGTCAGACTACTGTGTTCTGCAAATAGCGGTAAATAAAACTTTCTTCCTCCAGGCTGCCGTAGAGACAAAGATGGATACTACTGGATTACAGGAAGAATAGACGACATGCTGAACGTCTCAGGTAAAATCATTTTTTCCCCGTGAATGATTGGCAATTTCCATTGCTATGCTGTTGTCGTCTTCACCTCCTCTCTGTTGGCCTTATACGTAGGTCACCTGCTGAGCACAGCCGAGGTGGAGTCAGCTCTCGTTGAGCACCAGGCTGTCGCTGAGGCCGCGGTGGTCGGCAGACAGCATCCAGTCAAAGGGGAGAGTCTCTACTGTTTCGTCTCTCTCACTGAGGGTGTCACGTTTGACCATGCGCTGGAGGTTGAGCTAAAGAAACAGGGTTAGTGATCTTTATCTTTCACTGTATCAAAAGTGTTTCTACAACATATAAGAGATGTAGACAGTTTTGGAGTCAAATCTCAGTAACATTTATGTTTATGTCACAGTTCGTGAAAAGATAGGTGCCATCGCTACACCTGACTTCATTCAAAATGCTCCTGGACTTCCCAAAACGAGATCTGGTAAGAGAACCATGGGTCTTCACAACTGATTTCTGTTGTTTTTGTTATAATAAAAAAAAAATTAAATAGACAAGTTTTACAATGGTACAATCTCTTCTCTCTCTCCTCTCCTGTATGACCTTTTCCTCAAACGCCACGGACGCCCCCTACAGGTAAGATCATGAGGCGCATATTGCGTAAAATTGCCTGTGGTGAACGAGACCTAGGGGACATCTCTACGCTAGCGGACTCCACTGTTGTTGAGCAACTCTTCCAGAACAGATGCTGCACTGCTGTGTGATGGCTTTCGGGATTCCTTAAACACTGCAGATGCTGCTGCTACTGCTCCTGCTGCACGCTTATAGGCTCGTAACCAAAGGAGGAAAGTGTGGGGGAAGAAAGAGGACAAAGGATGAAGACATTTTTTGAGAAAACAACCTTTGGCTCCTGAGGCCCAGCAGGAAAACAGCTCATCAATTCGTTGTTCATGAGAAGCCAAAGTGTTCTTTTCTGAAAACACTGCCCTCCTGTGGAAGAAAATCAGTTTCATCCTATTATTTTCTATATTTTTTAACCAACAATTGTCAGAAATGTGTTGATAGTAAAAATACTGATTATACGGGTCAAGATTGGATGATATAGGGAGAATAGTGTGACCAGAGCCCCCTTGTGATGTATTTGTGTGGCAGCCTGAGTGGTAACCTGAGCAAAAAAATAATTCGAAAAAACAATTAGTGACTTTCTACATGTTTATAGTTTTTTTTTTTTTTTTTTTTTTTTTAGAAATACCTTTTGACAAGAAATGTTTTAGTTTGTGATGTCTCTGTATGTGCAGAATTAAAAATTGTGTCATGAAATTATGTCTCAGGATGGCAAACACTCCAGAGGATTACTCAGATCGGTTCCTTTTATATTCTTCTGAAAAGATATAAGTATCTACAAACATTTTTTGCATATAAATTCCTTTATCCCATCAATATCCTTTTTATGTGTGATAAGTATTTCTCACCTTTATCTGCAGGGTCTCATAGGACTTCTTAGGTTTACGATTAAACGTCGTAGAAAGCCCCTATGTGATGCTTTAACTGTTTTACCTTAAATTTGTAAAAATATTTTCTCTTTGGTTATGCTGTATGTTTTTTGTGCCAATTTACGTAAGAGTGCAGCTGGATGTGTACCTAAGATATTAGGTATACTTTTCTTGTCCGGCTTTAATTTCTGTCATTTAATGTTTGTGTGATGTTGTCAGTAAACCTCCATGACTACTGCCTCCCACTGTGTTCTAGAGTCTGTTTTATTTATTTTAGTTTTTGTAGTTTTTTGTAACTTTCATAAATCCCTGGCACTTCATTCCAAAACATTGCCACTATTGAATCACTAGATGGCTTCCTAAAATTTTCTAAATGTATGTTTCTCCTTAGGACTCAAGGTCCTTTATTGTCTTTACAACACGTGTTAGACATAGACACACATGTTGGAATGATTAGTGGAGTTGACAACGTTGTTTTGTAGACCTTACTGTTTAGCAGAATGGACTTAAAGAAAAGTACGGAAAATGATTAAAAGGCAGATGACAGAATAATTAGACAAACTGTCTTTGGCGCGTAGACTATGAACGTGGGTCAAAACGTCTGCCAAATGTAATGTAAATGATCCGATGGCAAAATGCCGAAACCCGGGATCGAACCAGGGACCTTTAGATCTTCAGTCTAACGCTCTCCCAACTGAGCTATTTCGGCGGATGGAAGCGCACAGTACATTATTCTTTTTAAAACAAGTCCTAAGGTTGCTGTGCGTGATTTTATATATTGTAAAGGACAATTATATAAATAAATGTCATACAAATAAAAGATATAAATAACATTTATTTGTTTGGTATTGCTTCCCAGAGGTTTAATGTTCCAGTGGCCTTCTTTCCGCTAGTTATACAAAAAAAGTGAAACATTTCTAAATTTTTATTTGCTTGCTACCTAACTTGCTTTATTGGTAATTTAAAAGCAAATTAAAATTTTAGTACTTTAAACTTTGGAGGTAACCTTATTACTTAAAAGCAACACTCAAGCACCATGGTACCGGAAACAGGAAGTGGCTCAATTATCAGACATGCGCATAACACATTTATTGTACCAAACGACTCGTGTGCTAGTAGTACGTTTGTTTGTTTTTTCCAAGTGTAAAACGTTTGCACCAAACAAGTGATGTGTCATCATTTTAATAAGGTAAGACACCATAGACCTAACCGGTCAAGGTAATTAAAACGTGCATTTATTTAACCTATTCTCACCTTCTCGGTGCTTATTCCGGCTTGTCTGCGTATTTTGTCTCTGCTTTCAATGTTAGAACGACCAAAGTCATTCTAAATTATAGCATGTTTTTGGTGTATTTCTTTACTTTGAAAAAAACAAATGTTTTCGTGACCAGAATGTTTCAGTATTACTCACATATAAAATAAAACTTTACCACATTTACAGCTATTATTTTTTTCTTGCCTTTAAAATGAACTGAATTAAATATAAGCTTTGAGACATAAACTCTAAATAAAATGAGATTTTAGGCTAACTTGTGTTAATTTATTTTTTAACCCAGTGATGGATGCCAATCATTCTTCCCCCCACGATGTTGCTGATGTCGCTTCTTGGCAGTCAGTGGCCGCTTGTCCTGGAGGCCTCTGGAAAATCCAGCTTCGGAGAAAACACAGACAGATGTTAAAGTCTGACTGTAGGGATGTTGAAGGTGGAAGACCAACAATACATTTATTCCCTTCATTAAAACATGATTTCTTATATATTTTACAAATAAACTAATGGACTCTATTTTTTATCTTTTAGATTTTTCCTTCACTTCCTGTCCACGGCTGGGATCACTGTGTCAAGTCCGAGTGCGCCTCAAAGCCGACGTAGAAGAAAGTGACAGTTCAGTCTCTCATTTTGAAAATGCAGAGCAGTCTTTCACTGAGGTCCCAGCATCAGCAGAGGTCGCTATTTTCCCAAGACGCCAGGACTCGGTGTTGCAGCTCCCTCTGGACAAATGGGTAACACTTAGGCTCGGAGAGGGTCAGTGTGATGTCACAGAGGCCTGTTTGGAGAACATGAGAGCAGGAGAGACATCGGAGGTAAACACACCACCTTATTATCTTAATCAGCAGTGACTGACGTCATCAGACTGACTTTTGAGCTCTCTGAACAACAATGTAAAAGAACCACCAATACTTTTAAGTCTCTTTTAACCAGTGATATTCCATTAAATAGCAAATGTATATCGGGTGAATTGAACCGTTGAAAAGATGGGATGAAGAGGTAAATCTGTAAATGGAAATGGCATCATCGTTAGCTGTAAGACGAATAGAATGGAATTTTATGCTGCAGGAGCGTGCCTTTCTAGAAAGGAATTTTATAAAATTATATCTATCTAGAAGTTCCTGGTTAAAGGTTTTCAGAAACCTAGACCTAAATCCTTTTTCTTGATGTTCTGAGTGCCAACCCCGGATTTAAACAGTAGTGAGTTTCAGTCTGTGCTCATATTTCTCAGGTTTAACAATAACTGGAACTGACAATGAGTCAGCTATTGGAAATGATCGACTAGAGATTGGGTCACAGACGGAAGATTTCCAGGCAGTCTCACCTATTCACATTCCAGGTAATAGTACCCCTGTAATGCCAGCTAAGAAGACACGGGATCCCCCTTTACGATTGCTCATTTATCATGGTTGAACGCAGGTACAACACAGACAATATGAAATAGGGGTTTCCTGATATTGAGGACAAAGACCTCAGTGTGTTTTGTGTTGCCAGGTGTCATGAGCATGTGGCACCAATCATAAGTGAAACGAAGGTCGGAAACAGAAGATCCGATTAAATAAGATTGATCTGAGAAGTCAAATCAAATTGTCTTTGATTTTTGTCATGGGTCATCGGTGTCACGGTGGGTCTCTTCGCTGGACCAGCTGAGAACCAACGATGTAATGAAGGTTGTGGTTTCTGACTGGTCGGAAACCAGAGCCGGCCCTACTCACCATTGGGCAGTACTGCACCTGGAACTGCTTTTTTAGATCTACTCTTAGGATTTGGCTCTTGGTCAAGTTTGTGCTGTTTCTTCCTCAGGTTCTTCTCTCGCACGTTGGAAATGGATCCAATGTTTCCCCTGTGCCTTCAGAGGGCCACCCTCCTTTACTTATCACAATAGAACTCCAGACTTTCACTCCAGGACTGGAATCTTGGGAAATGTCGGCAGGCGACAAGTGGGACTGGGTTATGGGTCATAAGGAACGAGGAGGTGTGAGATTCAAGAGCGGGGATGTGTGGGGAGCAGGAGACAGCTACGGCCGAGCGCTGAAGTTGCTCGTCACGCTCCGTGTTGGCAACACAGCGGCTGGGACGGAGCTCCAGCAGGACCTCCCCCCAGCCGACCAGATCAGGACCGTTAAAGCAGAACTTTACTCCAACCTCTCTCTGTGTCAACTCAAATTGAACCAACTCGATCGGGCTAGAGTTTGTGCCTCCAAGGCCACACAGCTGGAGCCCGGTGTCGCTAAAGCCTGGTACCGATTAGGACAGGCCTGTCAGAACTTAAACGAGCTTGACGGGGCCAAGAGGGCGTTCAGGAGAGTTCTGGAGCTGCAGCCGGATTCTTCGGCAGCTCAAAAGGCTCTAAAGGACGTTGCCAGTAAAGAAAAGGAGACAAATGCAAAGCTGGGACTAAGACTCAGTAAAATGTTCAGCTGACAGTCAAATGTTGGGGTTTCAGTTTTATTTCTACACCGCAGGCTGTATCACGAGTTCTTTTTAGGCAATGTCACAATTTAGGAATTTTTTTGTGTGTGTGTGTGTCCGTACGAAGAAAAAAAAGAAGTTGATCCTAATCGAAAATCATTTGGTCTCACAATCTTTTACCTTGCTTGAAGTATATGAAATCTTAAAATCTACGAGATACGCTTGACTTAAAACTAAAACTCACGCAAATATGTATGGTCACAATAATTGTTGACCTCTGTTTAAAAAAGAAAAACTCTTGCAACTTGTTTACTTTTTACAATTCAGTCTTTTCTTTTTTCTTTTTTTTTTTTTTTCAAAGAAAGAAAATGTAGCAGGTACAGTGTTGCCTTAAACCAGGCATTGGCAAACTAAGGCCCGGGGGCCAGGTGCGGCCCGTTCAGCTTTTCAATCCGGCTCGCCAAACTTTTCCAAATTATATAATTTATTTATATTATAGTTATACTTCTGCCTATTTAGCCAACTAAACCCAAAGTGAGTTCGGATAATATTCATTTCCAATTTTGTAGGTCATGCGACTGTGTTAATAAAACATGAACACAGTCCAATAAGACAAGTGTGATTCTACGAAAGCAGAAGACAAAGTCCTTAGAATGGGGACATTCAACAAATGATCTTTTGGGAAAAAAAAGTGGGGGTTTTTTTCGGTGATCTTGTGAGGAAGTGAAAATGAAATAGAAGGTTTAGAAGTGTGATTCTTCATGTGAACTTGTACACTCGGTGTCTTAAAACCTCTGTTTATTTATAAATGTATTTATTTTAAAATCTTAGACTAAAGTGAAGGTAAAGCCTTCTCTACTTTAGCTTGGCATTTACATGTTCCTTTTTTAGATGCCTTTAAAAAAAAAGATCTACTTTTAGGATTTGTGTTGTTTCGTCCTCAGGGTCTTCTCTCGCTGTCAGAAAACTTCCTCTGTTAGATAGGACTGTACAAAATGCTGTTGGTTCATTCCCCGGTTTCCTAACACACAAAACAATTCAAATAAAGATCAAATACGAGATCTCAAGTTTTTTAAAGTTTTACTTGCAAGCAAGGAATGCAGAACAATGGTTACATTCAGAACTGCACTGAGGAACTCCTCAGTGCTCAAAGCTTAAATACAGTTTTTTTTACACACACATCAATGGTCAGCACCTTAACCCTTTACAGCCATGTGGTGTTCAGCCACCACTTCTGTTCGCTAATTGGCAAAGGCTGCTCCAAACAAAGTTTCTCCACCAATACAAAACATGTACATGTGCTGTGCATGTGTCCGTTTTCCTCATTATTTGGGCAGAGAAACTGGTTCAGGCCGGTTCTTCGACCTGTCTCTATCTCCAAGCGTAAACAGTCAGTGCCATCAGTACCATACACCATATATGTATAGTCAATATATTAGTTTATATCTATGTTTTTGATGTTTAGAGAGGGGGAAATTTAATAGTATATTTCTGGGGGCTGGAACAAATGAATTGGTTTTTAGTTATTTGTAGTGGGTGAAATTTGATCAGGATACGAGTGAATCGAGACACGAGTGTTGTCGTGGAACGGATTAAACTGGTATTTAGGGGTCCACTGTTCCAAATGTATTTAGTGTTTACTCAAAATTGATGTCATTTAAACCTAATCAACTACAGTATATCAAGTGTTGCTTTGTCGCCTTCTTTCTGGAGCCGGTAGGTCAAAGTTTTTGCAGGGTGGAGTCACCCCAACTGATGACTCCACCTGTTTCCTCCAGCCTTGATATAAAGTGGACTGGTTTGATAGAGAAGACACGGCATCACTTTCTCAGACAGAAGAATCTCGAGGTTCACAGAGACCAGGGTGAGGTACACTTGAATGAAAATTCACTTTTTATACTGACATTTTTGCTGCTTCAGGAAAATTACACATATTTTGAATTATTTCCCTTTTTTCTTTTCTTTTTTAAAATTTGGAAGTATATTTTTTCAGCAGGCATTCTATTCTTTCTGATTTTTGATCAGTTGTGTTCGTATTGACTAGAGATATTTTTTAACATGTACCTTTATAGGAAATGCGTGTGAGTCGTGTTCTCTGAAGGTTTATCTGAACATTTAACACTCGGAAGGAAAATGTTTATAAGTGGTATAACACATGTATAATAATACGTTTAAATATACCTTCGACAAGTTCGGCGCCTCCTGCTGGTTTTCTTCATAATCATTTTGTCTGCAGAACCATGAACAGAAACTCTCTCAGCACTGACCAGGAGTTGCGTGCTGGTGACTACCTGATGAGTAACAATGGAATCTACAAGGCCGTCCTGCAGGTGAGGAAGTCATGTCTTTATCTGTATTTCTTTTTAAAGGAACCTTTACACAACATCTTACTCTGTTCTTCTCCCTGACAGACTGATGGTAACTTTGTGGTCTATGGTTGGGCCCCTCTCTGGGCTTCCAACACCTGGAACAAAGACTCCTACCGTCTGCTTCTGCAACAAGACAACAACCTGGTCATCTACGACAAAGAGAACCAACCACTCTGGGCCAGTAATACCCACTCATCACGTGACAGTCAGAGGATGCTTCTGACCATGCAGGAGGATGGCCGTCTGGTTCTCTACAACGATGGAAAGGAGATCTGGAGTGTTGGAAAGTGAAAAATAATGTGACAACACATGTGATGTGTGTACGAAGTTTGAAATAAAAAAGATCTAGAGAGATCTCTTAAGACTCACTGCTGGGACTCTGTGTTTCATTGTGACCCCAACACTGTGTCAGTGTCATTACATTGATGCTCTGGGCCCCACTTCTCTGCTGTCCACTGGCTCATTAACGAACACCTAATTATTTGTATGGAGTGTTTCCTCTAGAAATATTGTAATCACCCCTAACACGGGGGAGGGGGGGGGGGAGGGACATCTGTGGACAACTTTGAATTTATTTATGTTTTCTTGAGGTAAAAAGTGATTCGTGCAGGCGTTGTGTGCAGACATATCAGGAAGCAGGCAGGTGCAGCGGGTTTATTAACGCAAAGCAAAAACAAGAAAAACTCACTTGGTCACAAGGCTCTGAGCACAACGGCACAACGCACACGGCTTGAACAACACATAGTAATCCCACATGGTACTGTGGCTCCTCACAGTACCATTATCTAACTTGGAAGCACTGTTAAAAATGTTTTGCATCCAATGCTGTCATCTAGTGGACTGATATAGTCGTTGCAGGTAGTAGTTTTTGGACATTTTGTGTAATGTTAGCCTTTGTTGAGATTTATTAATCAATACTTACTCTAATCTTGTTAAACCCTACACAAGCCACATGACCCAGCGTTTTTCCAATCGTAAAACATGTATATCAAAACATGTAAACAGGAAAACAACACCAACAGTTATCGTTATCTTCAGAGGTACAAAGCACTGAGGGCATGTGAGTCCGTATATCACTCGACAAATTAAATATTAAAATCAAATTCGGTCAAGCTGACACTTTTCCATTTTGTAATTTTGATCCGAGTCTAAAACTGAAACAATAAGAAAACAAGGGATTTTTAATTATTATTATTATTGTTGTTGTTGCTATAAGCTTTATTATATCTGATTTAAAATCAAGTGACATATTTGTAAAACGTTAAAACGAACCATACACAAATTAAAAAGACATTCCATGGAGTCGAGACATCACTAAATGGCGGACCTCTGTGACTCTGTGAACAATTTCTGATACATTCGTGAGATTGGATGATTTTCACAGAGCATTTTTTCCGAGGTTTGAGAGTGCTATTCTAGTTATTACGAAGAAAGCGTCACCGAGTTGAGCCAATCAAATTGTTCGTTAACTTTGCGCGGCCAGTGAACCAGAGCAGAGCGGAAGAGACAGTGATGACAGGATGGCTTGCTCCAAAGGAAGGAAGGTAAATGTGGAAAACGGTTATTTGTTAAAAAGCGAATGGATGGAATAATGTACTGTATGTTCATTCTTTCGATAAACAGTTCAAAACGTGTTAGGTTTGCAAAACCGGTTAACAATTAACGTTACTACAAAACACAGCACAGGTCGTTTCACATATACAAGGAAGAACATCAAAGTCTAACCCCTGTGGCTCCACGACTTACAGACGCCAAACGCCCCCTACTGTCCGGGCGGTTAAACCGCACCAACAAAACTCATACTAAGCAAATGTACATTTGATTGCTGTTAATATTACAATAACCGAACTGCGAGTCCAATATGACAGCTGTAGCCGACTCATTACGCACATATTTATAGCATAGCAACGTGCAAATGACTGTTAAGTAAAAGTACGCGAATTTTAGGGCAACATTTATTTAATGATGGGTTTTGAAAAGTAGGACCTAAGTTCTTCAGGCTGGATCCTCTCTAATTTAAGAGAAACATTGTTATTGGGCTGTTTGCATTTTTATTTATTTTTCTTTTTTTTTACATTTATTTGCATAAGACTGCCTTTATTTATGGTATAAGAGCTAACTGTTCACCCAGTGAAACATTTCCTGCACTTAAAATTGACAATATATATTGTTGAGAACATAGAGGAATGTTATTTTTCATGGTGGAAATTTTAATAACTGGACCTTGGGTTCTTTTAATTGAATACCACTGATTTGGACCAGTTTGTTGTTTGCTTCAAATCAACAGATGATCAATATTAGTTACACCTATGACAGGACAAGTGAATAGAATATGGTATTACAACAAACGACTATTGCAACCATGAGTGTTTACATCAAGACCCTAAGTTTATTTATGATTTTTGGGACAACATGATCATGGGTCATAATTATTTTTTTTCAGCAGCCCATATTTCATTTCCGTCCTTGGACAAAACCAAACGGCCGTCATCCTGCATAGTAAGACGCATCTTTTGGCTGGTTTCGTTAGAGCAGGTGTCAGAGGCCCAGATTGGTTGGGACTCTTTGTTGTAGATGACCAGGTTACCATCACTTTGCATAATCAGACGGTGGGAGTCTTTGTTCCAGGTGTCGGAAGCCCAGAGAGGGGTCCAACCATAGACCACAAAGTTACCATCAGTCTGTCAGGGAGAAGACATTATGGAGAGTTAGAAACTGCATCAATATATAAGAGATAAGATAAGACTTTAATCATACTGCACCGAGGAAATTTCAGTACATGCATTTTATATGTGACATACTGTATATATATACACTGTATATATACCGTATATATATATATATATATATATATACAGTGTATAAATATACAGTGTATAAGTACTATATATATAGTGTATAAATATACAGTGTATAAATACTGTATATATATACATACAGATATATATATACTGTATATATATACATACAGATAAAGAATAAAAAATAATTGTTTCCTTACCTGGAGGATGGCTTTGTAATTTCCATTCAGACTCATCAGAGACTCTCCAGGGCGAAGCTCCTGGTCAGTGCTGAGTGAGTTCTGGTTCATGATTCTGCAACAACAATAATCGAAAAGGGTTTTTTTTTTTTGTTGTTGTTTTTTTATTTAAAAAAAACTCAGAGAGAAAAAATAACAAGCAAAAAACTGCATGTAATTACAGAGAAACTCCTGTGTGAAATGTTGACAGAGGCTGAAGTGAGGGAGTATAAAGGATGCAGTACTTACTAATGAGAGAGCAGGTGGAGAGTGAACCTTACCTTGTGTCTGTGAGCCTTGAGCTGCGTACCTCTGAGGAATAGCTGCAGTGTCTTCTCCATCAAACCAGCCACCTTATATACAGTAAGAGTTGGACAAGACGGCGGCACAGCCACCCCATCACATCAACAACTCACAGATAATTATACCTTTTCAGGTGATTACAAGTAGAACAACTGGTTTATCCACTCAAAGGAGAAAAGGCCACAATTTCAAAATTTTTCTTCAGACCCAGAAAAAAAAAAGTAGAAACGTTTGGTGAAAAACAAAAAATAATGAAACGTAAAATACATGTTGGAGTTCTAACTTCTGATTCAAAGGTTAAAATATTTATAACTTTGTTGTTTTGGTTGAGTGACTTTTGACAATACTTTTGGAGATGGACTACAGAACACACTGAGAAATCCTGGAAGATATCTGTCTAACATTGGTATGGTCCTGGTGTAATTTGCATCATTCCTGGTTACCTAGTGTCCTGTTTTCACAATGAGTTTGGGTTGGTTTTAAGCTTTGACTTTATGAATAATCCCCCGAGTGCTGCATTTGCGTCCTGTCAGCTTCTTCCCATTTCTGTCTGTACAAATGATTTAGAAAAAAAAAGTCCACTTTCCAAAAGACATAATAAAAAAAGACTATTGGCTATAATGACATTGCACACAATCCCAAAGAAATATTGCCTAATGTTCTGGTAGGTAAAAAAAAAAAACTTGGCTCTCTCAGCACTGAATATACAAGTTAAATTTTATATTATAGTTAAAAATAAAAACAAAACTCAAATAGGTAAAAGAAAATATTTTTTGGTGTAAGGTAATTTCACACAAAATGAAACATTCCTCTGTTAACAGGATTCTTGCTCCTCCTTTTTCGTCCTAAGGGGTTCTGTGTTATTGATTAAACAAACTTGCACACGTTTTTTTTTTTTCGTCCTAAGTGGTTCTGTGTTATTCATTAAACAAACTTGCACACAAATGAAACACGTCGTAGGACATTGCTGCTAGTGGCGCTTTGGCCCAGAGGCAATGTCTCTGTCATTGGTGTGGAACCCCAGGGTTCACCTCCTGGGCAAGATCGAATCCCGGTTAGGGCAGTTGGTACCTTCCAGTGGACTCACCACCTACAGGAAGGTTTAAGGGGGGTTGGTACGGTGCAGTGTGATTTGGGTGGTGACTGCTGCCCCCGCGACCCGGTAACGGATAAGCGGAGGAAAATGGATGGATGGGTGGATGGATGGATGGATCGACATTGCTGCTAAGCCAGTTTCGCAATGTAAAATGAGTGAAGCCTGTTTTGAAACTTGACAGAGCTTTGGCTCTGCCTGTGGGGTGATTCGTTCTGATCGGATCTGTTCTCCATTCGTCCCGCCCTAATACTTGCGTCTACTTCTGATTTGTTTGTTAGTGTTCTTTATAATAGTCTTTGACATCATAAAGGATTCTCATAAAGTTTTTATTTAATTTTTGTCGGTGAAAAAGGTTTGTTGACGAGTACTTTTAGTCATAAAGTTAACAATGTTGCTGACCCTGGCTGGGCAGATATTTTCAGTGTGCATATTCTGCACTCCCCCTTTACAGTCTCCAATGTTGTTGAAATTGTATTATCTCAAGGTCTATGTATGTGTTTGGTATGTTCAAGTCTAACATCTAGTACTTGAAATTCTCTACTTGGATTTGGTTTGTTCCTGTATACATGTAGTATCTGAACCCTATTAGTATTTTGTACGTTGTCTATACTCTATATGTATTTGTAGGCATCATTTACGAAGTCTACAATGTTTGTTTGACTTAATGGACATTATAGGGGATGTTTAAGTCAGAGAATTCAGTCACTCAGTGTAGTCGGTGCATTAGGGCAGCCAATCGCTGCTCTGCTGCTGTCAGGTAGCAACAGAATTTATCCAATCACTGTCGATGAACCTGATGGCTTAGGAGCAATCAATTTGTCACCCCAGGCGAGTCGTTCTGTAACGCAGTGGATATTTGCATACTGAAGACCCGGTTTCAAGTAGTTAGCTGTGTAATTTCACCACAAGGGCTCACTTTTGTATCAGAAAACAGCCTTGTGTGTAAAAATGTGTACATTTCTATGTTTAAAATCTATGTACCGTGTTTCATGAAATATCATGTTTTAATAATAATCACTATTAAAATAAAAGGAAGGGGAAAAAAATAATATGCACTTGTAAACCAATTCCAACTGAGGGATTTACAATAATCCCTCACATTGTGGAAAACAATGATTCGCTCTTAAAATCATGATGTTAATCACAACATTTCTTTACTAATTTCAGCATTAAGCCTTCGTCTGATTTCTGTCCTAATCATATTAAACATTTCAAGTCAGAGGATCATTCTTTTAGTCTTATTCAGACACATTCCCTATCTTGCGTTACATGCAAATATATAAAAAATATCAACCTCTTTATTTCAACAAAATCACACGGTCATATTATACATCATTTGTTTAATATAAATCACGTGTGTTCTTTCCCAGATTTCTTTGTAAACTTCCTGGATTAGAGCCATGCCTCAACATGTTTTTATAACACATTTCGACACATGTTCCCCTTTCTTGTCCTAAATGCGGAACTAATATAATTTTTTTGCCTGCTAAGATACACTCGGTTCATGACCTCTGGTTGCTGAGCTCAGCCCTTCTTGACAGGAGAAACTGATACTAAAATGACTAAAAACTGAATTAATACTAAACATTTCAAAAAGTCAAGCAAATAAACAAACTTACTCCATCCATCCAGCCATCTTCAACCATTACCGTTACATCACTGGGACAGCAGTCTCCATGACCACCACCCAAATCACACTGCACCGTACCAACCCCCCTGAACCTTCCTGTGGGTGGAGAGTCCACTGGAAGGTACCAACCGTCCTGACTGGGATTTGATCTTGCCCAGGAGGTGAACCCTGGGGTTCCACACCAATGACAGAGACATTGCCTCTTGGCCAAAGCACCACACAAACTTAATACCTCTCCATACAACAAACGACTCTTGCAACCATGAGTGTTTACATCAAGACCCTAAGTTTATTTATGATTTTTGGGCACAACATGATCATGGGTCATAATCTATTTTTTTTCAGCAGCCCATGTTTCTTTTCCGTCCTTGGACAAAACCAAACGGCCGTCATCCTGCATAGTAAGACGCATCCTGTGGCTGATTTCGTTAGACCAGGTGTCAGAGGCCCAGAGTGGTTTGATCGTTTTGTCGTAGATGACCAGGTTACCATCACTTTGCAAAATCAGACGGTGGGAGTCTTTTTTCCAGGTGTTGGAAGCCCAGAGAGGGGCCCAACCATAGACCACAAAGTTACCATCAGTCTGTCAGGGAGAAGACATTATGGAGAGTTAGAAACTGCATGAAAAACAATTATATATTTTTTTGTTTTTACTGTCTGTGTTTATTACAAAGAATAATTGTTTCCTTACCTGGAGGATGGCTTTGTAATTTCCATTCAGACTCATCAGAGACTCTCCAGGGCGAAGCTCCTGGTCAGTGCTGAGTGAGTTCCGGTTCATGGTTCTGCAGACACAATGATTGAAAAGAGGTTTAAAAAAAACAAAGTGACAATCAAAAAGCTGCATGTAATTACAGAGAAACTCCTGTGTGAAATGTTGACAGAGGCTGAAGTGAGGGAGTATAAAGGATGCAGTACTTACTAATGAGAGAGCAGGTGGAGAGTGAACCTTACCTTGTGTCTGTGAGCCTTGAGCTGCGTACCTCTGAGGAATAGCTGCAGTGTCTTCTCCATCAAACCAGCCACCTTATATACAGTAAAGAAAGTGAAAGTAAAAGTGAACTACTCGTTATTGTGACACAGCAACTCACTGCACACAACCAAATGCGACTTCTGTTTTTAACCCAACACCAAAGTGAACAGTGGGGCAGAAAACAGACGTGTGTAAATTCCTGTCTTTCTATGTTTAAAATCTCTATACCGTGCTTCATGAAATATCATGTTTTAATAATAATCACTATTAAAATAAAAGGAAGGGGAAAAAAATAATATGCACATGTAAACCAATTCCAACTGAGGGATTTACAATAATCCCTCACAAAAATAAAGCTTTCATCTATCCAAAATGTCTCCATGAGGCACCACATCTGGTCTGTCCTATCTTGGCTCAAGTGTATCTCCTTTTGGTGGACTGTGGTCATCTGGCCAGAGAAATTGAACAGCCACATCTCAGGAGCAGCATGTTATTTTGAAAATGAACAAAACATTTCTGCTTCATTTTGGACACACTTGGATGTCCAGAAATGTGACTTTTGTCTTATGAATGGGTTTATATCATTTTGTTCATGTGTGCCTTTGGCCTGTTGGCTCCCCACAGTACCATTATCTAACGTAGAAGCACTGTTATAAATGTTTTGCACTCAGTGCTGTCATCTAGTGGACTGATATGGTTGTTGCAGACAGTTGGTTTTTGACATTTTGTGTAATGTTAGCCTTTGTTGAGATTTATTGATTAATACTGTAGGTACATCCACAACCTCGATGAAAAGAGAAAACCTGCTCGTCTCAGAAGACTAAGAACTAACGCGCTTTTGTAGACACCATTGCCCACGGTGATAAATGCACTAGTAGCGTCTTTTTCTTAACTGAGTTAACCGGTAATTAGGTTATACAAGTAACGTAGCGCTGCGACCAAAGCAGTTATTGAAAAGTTAGAAGCGACAGGATTCCTTCTAACGGTATTCGTGTGAACCGGCACATCGACAGTCAGAGACTTTTCCTCCTGAAACGGACTTTCGGAACCAAGAGGACTCTCTGGACACAGTGGAACCAGACGGACGTCCCCAGCTCTGGCAAGGACCCAAGAAGCACGGACTTTCCACTACCCTCTAAATACGAGCAGACGTTCACTACAGTAAGGCTGGCATTTGGGCACGTTAGTTAATCTGTAGTATTGTTAAGTGCTATTTAAACTTAGGGACAGTTTAAGTACGCATATTGAATTTTGTTGTCTGAAATCTGTGCTGCTTTTATAGCTAGGCTGTTGCATGCACTTCTTTTCTAACCTCCTGACTCGGTCTTATACTCTTGTACACCGTCAGTATTTCAGTGTTAACTTGTAACGTTATCAGTATTGGGATCAGGAAAACTCCGACAAAGTCCTTTGTCTGGAGTAGACCACGCGGTACGCCTCCCTTCCCCCATATACTTTGATAACATCACAAGCACTGTTTCATTGTACCTGAGCGCATCTTGGTGCGCGTACACAACACCCATTCACACCTCCGTGAGCGCATACACGCCTCACGTGTTTCCTGTTGCCGTTCCTTCTACCTCGCAGTTCTTCTTCCACTGCGCAGTCGCGTATGTGAACACGCCTCAAGGGCTCAGTCGCTTGCTTGGTAGCTGAGAGGCAACATCTCTCTCTCTCTTTCTCTCTCGTACACGACCGCTCGTGTACACACGCACATAAGTACACACACACACACACACACCTACACACACGCCTTGTTTTGTTATAATGATCATTGTTTATGAGTTCAATCACCGTCATTAACTTGACAGTGTTGTATAAATAAATTTGATTATTTTTGTAAACTGTATTTGTCTGTGTTGTTACTTTATTCATTGAAGCCACCCAATTTGCCAAGAACTCTCAAAATCCTTCAGATATTTAATTGTTATTGGATACTATTGATTTTAGTATATTTGTAATACTTCAAGTAATACATTATTGCTATATTAGTAGGTTAAAATAATAATTAAAGATAACTTTAATGAGACTGGTTGTGTTATTAATTTGAGACTGGTTGATAACACCGAGTGCTCCTAAGCAGCACTCGACCCATTGCACCTACAATTCTTTGAGCTTTAAACAAATAAAAGGTAAATACAATGACCTTTGTTTCTGTATTTGAGCTCTTTGTGTGTGTTAACATATCACTTACTTAGCTTACTGCTAAGAGACTTTGGTTGATCTCAGCTCCTTCTATGCGACTGTGTCTGTTTGTTTTTTTGGTGTCTGATGCCCTTTCACTTCCTGCCAGGTCTATAAACCACATACTGCAGGCAAGAAAGACAGATACACGTGTCTCATGTTGTCATTAAACACCATGTGAAATAGTTTTTTAATAATAAACATATGTGACCATATCAAGTGATGGACATACCTGCCAACTGTCTGCTGGTTTGGAGAACGAGAAGAAAGCGGATTTGCTCCACTTGTTCCCTGTGTGTGCTCCTAGCTGCCGTGAGAAATCACCTTTTCAAGATGAAGGAGGTGACAGTAGGACAGAGAGACCAGAGACAGATACAGAGGGAAGTGATCAGGGTATGTAGTCATCAATACACCATACTAAAACTGTATATGTGCAATAACTGTATAACTAGCATTACCTTGTGTAATAGCAAAAATGTCCATTCTCATGTGGAATGTCACTCACCTGTTTATTTAAGTATAATGGTAAAAATCGTAACATGTCAAATTGTTTGACTGTCATTATGTACAGTCTTTGTTTCTCTGTATTATTATCTTCTATAATTAATTGATTTATTATCTCAATTGCAATATCTCAAAGTAACTATACCTGTAAACTGGAAAACTACAAAATTGCAAGCTGATATCTTATTTGTAAAGCACTATGCTAGACTTCACTCTTTATACCGCATATTGTACTTTGCTGCTGTCAACACTGTCAATTTCTCCACTGTGGGTCCAATAAAGGAAATCTTAATCTTAATCCTAAAAACATGATAAAGCATTTGCATTGAATCCTGGCCTATTTTTGTTTACAGTAATAATATGTAAATAGTAAATATGTTCTTGATGTTTAAGTGTAAATAAGAGCATCGGCGCTACATTTGTAATCACTACAAAAGGAATAAAAGCAAAAATGAAATGAACCAACACCAAGAATATTTTCATGTTAACTATTAATTATAAAAAAAAGATACAGTGATGTAGAATATCAATACACTATTGTGAAATAATACATTAAGGCAGGAATTCTTTCTGATTTTTGATCAGTTGTGTTCGTATTGACTAGAGATATTTTTTAACATGTACCTTTATAGGAAATGCGTGTGAGTCGTGTTCTCTGAAGGTTTATCTGAACATTTAACACTCGGAAGGAAAATGTTTATAAGTGGTATAACACATGTATAATAATACGTTTAAATATACCTTCGACAAGTTCGGCGCCTCCTGCTGGTTTTCTTCATAATCATTTTGTCTGCAGAACCATGAACAGAAACTCTCTCAGCACTGACCAGGAGTTGCGTGCTGGTGACTACCTGATGAGTAACAATGGAATCTACAAGGCCGTCCTGCAGGTGAGGAAGTCATGTCTATATCTGTATTTATTTTTAAAGGAACCTTTACACAACATCTTACTCTGTTCTTCTCCCTGACAGACTGATGGTAACTTTGTGGTCTATGGTTGGGCCCCTCTCTGGGCTTCCAACACCTGGAACAAAGACTCCTACCGTCTGCTTCTGCAACAAGACAACAACCTGGTCATCTACAACAAAGAGTACCAACCACTCTGGGCCAGTAATACCCACTCATCACGTGACAGTCAGAGGATGCTTCTGACCATGCAGGAGGATGGCCGTCTGGTTCTCTACAACGATGGAAAGGAGATCTGGAGTGTTGGAAAGTGAAAAATAATGTGACAACACATGTGATGTGTGTACGAAGTTTGAAATAAAAAAGATCTAGAGAGATCTCTTAAGACTCACTGCTGGGACTCTGTGTTTCATTGTGACCCCAACACTGTGTCAGTGTCATTACATAGATGCTCTGGGCCCCACTTCTCTGCTGTCCACTGGTTCATTAACGAACACCTAATTATTTGTATGGAGTGTTTCCTCTAGAAATATTGAAATGACCCCTAACACGGGGGGGGGGGACACCTGTTTGGAGAGGACTGCACTCTGTCTGTTTCTGCAGCAAGACAACAATGGAATGTGGAACTTATCTCCACACCCTCAGAAAACATTTAATCTGTTCCTGTCACCGTTCAGTTTCACTGCAGCATGAGAAGATCAGGGTGTTGTTTTCAGATAAATATAGGAATGAAACAGCAACTGACAATTCAAGGAAACACTTTTCCTTAAAGTTTATCAGAACTTTAATCTGTTCCAGAAACTGAAGCCAAAACCTGATTCTGATGAAACTGTCTCCTCTCCTGTAGGATCTTGTACCTGCTGGGATCCATCTAATAGTGGCGCTCATACATTTAGTGGAGCTCTGATGCCAAAGCAGCTGCCGAGTTAGTCACGACAACCTTTAGTGCTTAATAAAATAAGATATATACTATATACATGTGCATATATATGTATAATCCATATCAATAAGTTTGAAATAAAAAAGATCTAGAGAGATCTCTTAAGACTCACTGCTGGGACTCTGTGTTTCATTGTGACCCCAACACTGTGTCAGTGTCATTACATAGATGCTCTGGGCCCCACTTCTCTGCTGTCCACTGGTTCATTAACGAACACCTAATTATTTGTATGGAGTGTTTCCTCTAGAAATATTGTAATGACCCCTAACACGAGGGAGGGGGGTTCGGGGGGGGGGGGGGCATTTGGGGA